CGCCTGGCCTGAAATTGCTATTTCTCTCTTTCTGTCTCTCTCTCTCTCTCTAATTTCCTTATTGTCTCTGTTATCAATGTGTGCTGGGAAACAGGTACTACTTTCTCATGAGCTTCCTCTATTAGCCAGAACAAAAATATCTTTCAATTCATGAATATTTTATCCCCAAACATATCTTCTGTCCGTATACTGTAAAATACCTATTTCCAAGAGGAAGCAGTCATTTGCAGAGAAAGAGGCTCACGAACAAGGTGCTGCTCCTTTATAACCCCTATCAACGATTGGGTAATCGCAACGAAAACTTCAAGAAATTCAAACAAATTTGGCATCACCTTTTTATTTTAATGTATATCCCTTGTCTGTTCTGTTCATCTCATTGCCTATAAAGAAGTCTTGCACTTAGTAGAAGTTTAGCAAATATTTTTCAAATGCTCAACAGATTAGATATGGTGTCTTTTTGTAGTTGGTAACTATGTTTTAGGCCTCACTGGAGTCTCTAATGGAAACAGACAACCCATAAAAGATGTATTTGTGGAGAAGGAAAAAGAGATGTGGAAATATAATGATTATGATTGAAAAAGAAGGAAAGGTAAAAAATCAATTTTCAAAAACGTGTATGGTGTATACAGAGCCCCATTTCCCAAATATTTCATTATATCGGTAGATCATTCGAATGAAAAAAAGAGTTATACTTACCTGAACTATATTGCCAGCCATGCTGCAGAGGCAATCCCCATAAAATATTTTGTTCATTTTCTGGTGCAAATTTTTCAAAATACCTGGCTGTCTGGTTCAATAGGATTTTATACAGCCCCATTCTCTCAGGGAATACCCATGGATCAACAATGTACACCCCATTCTCCACCCTGTAGTCACTGAACTGACCAGGACTCTCCTTCCACAGAGGGGGCTCCATATACGAGAGATTGGGAGCCCATGCTAGAGAAGCAGAAAAGCAACCAACTAATATATGAACCCAGGAAGGAAGGAAAGCCATTGTACCAAAGGTGGCAATTGAGATTGTGGCCAGGTATTTATTGGAGAATGGAGGAGGAAGTCATGATATTTTCTTACATCACAGCTTATCAATACTTTAAATACTTTTTCTTGGGTAGGGTGAAAATACAGAGGAAATTTGTATATTAGCTAACATTCAAGATAACTGAATCGTGTAATCTCTTCAGTGTCAGAACCTGACTACAAGGTTAGGCTTGTCTATAACACATTACATAAAACTATTTGTCAACAAAAACCTTCCAGACATTTCCCAGCCTAAGCTGTGGTTACAAAATATATTGCAAATGGCATTAGGATGCTTTCCTCTTGTAAAACTACTTTAACATATTTCATGGAAAATTTTAAGTAGATGAAGATGGACATACTAGGGTTTGTAATAATATGTAAAGGTATACTGAAAAATATGTGATCCAGTTATAATACAATTTTCTGCTTCAAGAAAGAAGTTTAAGAAGTTTCAATTATATCAAATTAGCCCAATTCAATAGCGAAAGCCAGTCTGTTACAATAAAAATCTGCTAGTTAATTCCCAATATCCATTTTCCATTCTTTATCAGTAAAACAATCTTAGCATTTTAGCTGGGACATGGTCTCACAGAATTAAGGCTAAATTTTCAGTATCCCTTGCACAAACAACCAACCATGTGACTAAATGTTGGCCATTGGGACATAAGCAGAAATCATGTTCACAACTTCTGGTATATGTCCTTAAATGGAGGGCAGGTGCCACTTTCTTTTCCCTTCTTCCGTGTTGGGGCTTGGATTATGGATGTGATGGTCAAAACTCAATCTTGACCCCTAAGCACAAGACACTATCTTAGGGATGACAGAATGCAAAGCTGGAGGTTGTCTGAGTCCCAGCAGACTATGGAGCCATGAGATATCCCTGAATTCCTACATGTGAATTTTATCTGAGAGAGAAACATTCTGTTTCCTTGTTTCAACCATTGTTATTTGGGTTTCATTCACACATAGTCAAAATGCTTGCCTCTTTAATAGGTAGTGCACTTGAAATGCTCAATTATTAGCATAATTAGATCCATATGCTTCATAGCAGTTCAAGGGCACCATTCACTCCTGGCATGGTCCAGATTAAATATCCTTCAGCATAATACAACTTTTTATTTCTGTCATATTATTTACGCAATAGCCATATGACCATTAACTATTCAATTTTTCAGATATATTAATATAAAGGGGAAGTGTTAGAAATTGCTATGATGTTCTTGATCAAGAACACAAGCATTCTGGATGTCACATTCCATCTTTATAAAAAATAAATACAAGACTATGTACTACAAGATGTTTCTCTAAAATCAAGTGTCAGGATCATTCTCAATGGAAAAACCATAAAAACATTCCCTTTAAAGTCATAAATAAGTTAATAAAGATAATGAAATTGGAGGTATAAAATTGAGAATGAGGGAGTGGTAGAACAATTTTTCCAGATGATATGAAAGTGTTGAATATTTGAAAAATATAAGAGAATAAACTGGAAAGATAACTACAAAGAAAAAGAAAATTTAGTGAAGTGGATAGGAACTAAATTAGTATATATATGTCAATAGCTTTGTACATAAAAGCAATTGGAAAATACAGTGGGTGGAAATACAATGAAGAAAAGTCTTCATTTTTAAGGTCAACAAAAGGACCAATATATTTAGAAATAAGTGTAATTGTGTTAGATCCATTTGGAAAAAAATATTTAAGAATACTAATAAAATTGAACAATTTTAAAGTCATGTCATGTTTTTCAATAGACTCAACATTATCAACATGTTAATCTAAATTTACACAATAAGAATGAGAAATATTAACAGGACTTTTAGAAGTAGAACAGCTAAGACTTAAGTTTGTTTAAAAACTAAATTATGTAGGAAAACAGAAAACTCTAATAATAATGGGAAATAATAATAATGAACGGAAACTTTCCCTAACGAATATTAAAACATTGTTATAAACCCTCACAAATTAAAGTGGCTAACACTTAAGCAGTAATATTATCTTACAGTTAAAATTTTTTTGTTCCTTTAGGTATATTTATACATGCATTTTAATATATCAGGGTAATTATATTTTTCCTTTATTT